ATGGCAAGATAGAGAGGTACAAGGCAAGGTTGGTAGCAAAAGGGTATACTCAGACCTATGGTGTTGATTATCTGGAAACCTTTGCACCAGTAGCTAAGATGAGTTCAGTTCGTATTCTTTTACCTCTAGCAGCCACCTATTCATGGCCCTTGTTCCAACTTGATGTCAAAAATGCTTTCCTCAATGGTGACTTACAGGATGAGGTATATATGGACATTCCAACAAGCTTTTATGAAAATGTTGGTAATGGAAAGGTGTGCAGACTTAGAAAATCTCTGTATGGACTGAAACAGTCACCTAGGGCTTGGTTTGACAGGTTCAGAGGGGCACCATCCGTTTTGGATACACACAGACAGTCTGATCACACCCTCTTTGTAAAGAGGAGAGATGCTTTGGTGTCAATTCTGATTGTGTATGTGGATGATATAGTGGTGACAGAAAATGATCTAGAGGAGATTGATGATCTCAAAAAATCATTGCAGCAAGAATTTGAGATCAAAGATCTTGGTGAGCTCAAATACTTCTTAGGGATTGAAGTTGCAAGATCCAAGCATGGGATCTTCATTTCACAAAGAAAGTATATACTTGACCTACTACAAGAGACTGGAAAGTTGGGGACCAAACCAACAGACACTCCTATTGATCCAAATCATAGAATTAATGGTGTGGATGGTGAATTGGTAAAGGATGTGGGGAGATATCAAAGAATGGTGGGCCGACTGTTGTATCTGTGTATGACACGACCAGGTATTTCTTATGCTGTCAGTGTTGTGAGTCAGTACATGCATGCACATTGGGTTCAGCACTGCGAAGCTATTGAGAGAATACTTGCATATCTAAAAAAACACCCTGGCAAAGGTATTCTTTTCTCAAATCTTGAGAATCTGAAGCTAGAATCCTATACAGATGCAGACTAGGCAGGATGCTTAGATGACAGGAGGTCTACATCAGAAGTGTGCACCTTTGTAGGTGGAAAGTTGATCTCCTGGAAGAGTAAGAAAGCAAGCGGTTGTGGTAAGGTCAAGTGCAGAGGCTGAGTATAGATCCATGGCTCATGGTGTCTCAGAACTTCTTTGGGTTAGATCTCTTTTGAGTGAGATTGGGGTGAAAGCAGAAGAACATATGATGTTATACTGTGACAATCAGGCTGCAATCAATATTRYCCRCAATCCAATTYAGYATGATAGGACAAAACACATTGAAGTTGATAGACACTTTATAAGAGAAAGGGTAACAACAGGAGAAGTTTATTTGCCTTGTGTCTCTTCAGAATTGCAACTGGCTGATATTCTCACTAAAGGGGTGGAAAGGAACAAGCTTGAACATGATCTATACAAGTTGGGAATGTGTGACATTTACTCCCAACTTGAGGGGGAGAGTTGAAGATTAATTAGTTTTATAATGCTTTTCTAAGTAGATGTTTATGTTAGTTGTTAGATAGGAGGTGGGGACCACAGTAGTTATGTGAGTCCAAATTTTATTATGTTTTTTGAGTGTTATATATGCTGTTTTATGTTTTGCCACCCTATAAGGGCATAGTTGTCTTTGTACTGTTCTATTATTTTAGTATAAATAATAAGTGAAGGGGGCGGCCAGAATTATTGCTCTTTTCTTTCAACTTCTCTTCTTCTCTTCTTCTCCTTCTCTCTTCCTTCTCTCTTCAAGAAACTGCTTTCTTTCATATTTTTTTAATTCAGCAGATTTCTACTAGTGTCATACACATTGTTAAACTATGGACCCTTAATCATTGCTAACTACTAGTCACACAAGACAAACTAAAATAACCAATCCACCAATCTGACAGAAATATAATCTGCAACTCCTAAAGGAAATGAACCCACCAAAACCTCTAAAGCTGTCACTTTATCAGCGTCATCCAAAAAGTCTTGTTCAGACAGTGCTCTGGATTCATTGGTTAAATTTTCAGACTTGTGTTAACTCACTCCCTAACTTGAAATTCCATAATCATTTTTCTAGCAGATTCCTCTCCACCAAAAAGATCAAATAATGTCTTTTAGACTGAAACATTTACAAAATTAACATTTTTCAGAAATTAAAAAAAAAAAAAGCTCAAGTATTTCAGTATTATTTATTTACGACAACCCAATGTCTTAAAATGTTGCAACACTCCACGCAACTCCAAGTTAATATCTTGCCTTTTACTTGCTGTACTAGCAAGCTCCTATTACTTTATCAGCAAAAAGAGGGTATATACCATGCCAACCATGACCAACTAGCCACACTGATGAAGGAACAACCTGGAGATAAACAGGGGAAGGGGAGAAGAATGAACTGTGTCTGCTTCAACTTTTGTTGATTATTAGGTTCTGTTTACTTCAATCATGATTCTTAATATTGATATCGATGGCCATGAGTTGGAGAAATTTTGGAGATATTTTGCTAATTTCGCTAAGATATTTGGAAATCTAAAAGATCAGGAAAGGTTTCTAGAATCATTAAATTAGTTAATAAACCTTCAAGACATCAATACAAGAAATATAATTGCACATTTACAGCTCAAAAAACCATAACAAAGAACTACATAAATCAAATAGGAAAAACTTAAACAATTGTAATAGACTAATAGCTATGTTTTTCTTTGTCTCCCTTTTGGTCTTTATATATGTCAATTGTTTGCCATTTTAATATTTGTCTTTATTGCTACTATATGTTTTGATTAGATTGAGAACACTCTTTTCTAGAATTCTAGTTATATCCATTTTTCTTTTTCCTTTGAATTATAGTGACTAAGTAAGTGAATCATATCAAAGAAATAGTAAGTCAATTATCCAATCACTAATTCCTTGTTGGTTCTTTTAAGAAAATATTTTTAAAAAACTATGATAATTTTAGTGAAATATTGAAAATTTTAAGTAATATTCTAAAATTTTAAACTTTAAATATATAGTCTATCAATGAAATCTGAAATATTGCTGATATGTTGATAAAATATTGGAGATATTTGGGAAAAAAATCCTGGAAGATTTCATACCACCACTTAGCAAATAGGGATATGTCGGGGATATTTCACCAAATATCGTCGATATTGCGAACCATTACTTCAATTACTGAAAGGACTTGATTGCAGGGCTTTTTTCCATCTTTACATACCATTTCACCACTTTTTTCTCAACATGATATGACTAAACTACAGAGGTTATTTTCCTTGCCAAAATCAACTGAAAAGAGCATGGCAACACCTTTTTTTTTATAAGTAATGAGTTGTGTTCATTTCATTTTTGTTGATTGTTATGAAGGAACTTGATTGCAGGGCCTATTTTCCATCTTTACATTTCACCATTTTTTTCTCAGCAAACATGATATGACTAAAAAAGTACAGAGATTTTTCTTTCTTTGCCAAATGCAACTGAAAAACAAAGAAATAAAAAGGCATGTGGGCTGTGACACAGAAATTCACATGTAAATGCCTTCAAAATTCATCAATCATTACATCATACCTCAGGTAGAACAGTGAGCAACTCCAGAAAACTTGGTATACACTCCGGACGAGAGTTCATCTCATCCCGAAGCCAATTCACGATACCACCATCTCCCCAATCTTCCTTGGGAACATGCACAGCCAAAGCTGCAACCGCAAGGCTAATCTGGAGAGAGGGACATTGGAGGTCAGTACAGTAGAACCCTGGTACAAAGAAAACAATAGAAATTTTCACTTATTCATGAAGACTGCTTCCAAATATAAGTACCTGTGTTCTAACTTTAGGGGGGCCTTTGTGTAAATTTTTCAGCAATGCCTGCAATTACCACTCACCATAGCAATCAAAAACCAGATTTAATATAAATCAACTTATCAACATATCTTAAAAACCACAAGACACATAAAGCTAACAATGGTTAACTAGAAAATACAAAATCAATTATATAAATTGAATAATACCTCTTATGCTGTAAAAATTGCAAGTGTGACACTATATATTCAAATTACAGAATTTATGTTGTGAAACTACTCAAATATAAATGTATGCACTTACGTTCAAGGAATCGCGTAAGGGGCGAAAAGCTTCAGAAGGTAGTTCTTCAAAATCTCGTTGTACCTGTAAATCAGATGCAAAATAGCAATCAAAGAATTGAAGACTACAACCTCAAATCTGAAAATGTGTATGCATATAAGCATAAACAAGGATACAAGTAAGCACCTTGCTTCTGAGAGTCTGAGAACAGAAAATTAGAGTTTCTAGATTGCTGCTGGAATCATGAAGCAAATTATCAGACACCTGAAGGAAGATATGACAATCAATAAAGTTATGATGGAAAAAATGGATATTATTTTTAACTCAAGAACACGTGAAGTTTACTATATAAACAAAGAATCAAATTCTATGAAATATTGTTTAGATTTTAAATGAAGGCAGTCTGAGCATTTAACAGAAATTTATTTAAAGATTCACATGAAATGATTATAAGCTAGGTAAAACTTATAATTAATCACCCCTTTGAAGAAAAGGCATACTAGAACAAGATAAATCAATCATTTGAAGAAAAAACAACTGTATTGCATCTATAATAAAATAATATAAGCATATTAGAAGCAATAATTAATAGTTAATGATTTATTTGCAGTGTACTGTCAAAAGCCATCATAATAAAATAATATGAGCTTAAGCATAACTTTGCAAGACGTCAAGCATGGCCATTGTAAGAAAGAAAAGAAGTTTGGAGAGAGGGAGAAAAGCTATAGCACAGCCCATACACCATCAAATCCCACTTAAAATGTAAAAAGAATATATTATAAAATACCATCCCATCCTTGTAATTGGTCCACATATATCAATAACATTCAGTTCACATTCATAACATGTAGCCTACCTCTTCCAATGGATAAGTATATACTGCAAGTTAACAGTCTCATCCACAATATTCTTTCTGAAAATCTTGCCCATGATGAGTATTAACAACCAAACCTCTTCTGCTATTATCATTCATGAAAAGAAGATTATAGCTAAACAGAATATCAATAATTAGTGTGCTGGGATTTGTTTTATCTAATAAAAGAGGAATTATCCCATCAATAAATAGTATAAGATTTTTTTGCATCTTGAATTGGTTGGTCTGTATTGGACCTTCCCAAGCTTGTGATCCACAAGTGATAAGCTCTTTTTTTTTATCTGGCTAAGATTTGATAAGTGGAAATTCTTGATAGGTTCAGTCTATGAGCTTATAACCTCAAACTTCAATGTTCTCATTTCTAAGTTGATTTGGAAAATGAAAAGTGTGAAAGCATCAGCATTGAAGAGTATAATGTACATATTAATCTTTATTTTGGCCAAGTAACTATCGAGATTATCACCATATTACCACTGATCAGATTGGACCGGTCACCAAGTTCTAAAGCTCAAGCCACAAGCAAGGTTACTTTCTAAATCCTTCAATGACAGTTTCCTCGATCCAGAAAGGTTCAATAACACAACTCCTTTGGCACAAGTACTTTCTAACCTCCTCCATTGGCACAAGAAGAATTCTGAATATTCCAGTTAAGTGAAAGGGCAGCACAAAAGGAAGGGAATATGGAAATTGAATTCTTAACAATCTAAATTTCAGCTAGTGGGGTATCAATATCATGGTCAGAAGCTCATTAGTGATCTCAGTTTGCCCTTGTTTCCATGTTGATCTTCCTTTTTTCTCCGATACAGTTTCTCCTCTTGGCCAAGAGATAATAAAAACAACAGATAGGTAATAAATGAATTGAGATGCAGCTGAACCAAACATTATTTCATTATTGGAACTTCCCTGGCATGCAATAAAACGCCAACAAGAATAGATGAACAAAAAGGCCTCAAATGCATCTTTTCAAGGCGTTTACATGAGATATTAATCAAATGTGCATGAATAAACACAACAGTTCGAACATATAATAGTCCACAACGATTCCAGTAGCACAAATTGCATGTCCAAAATAACTTCAATCCAGCTTTCAGAAACTGTTTACTATCAAAATATCAATCACTCCGTCACTAGATATTCCTCGATCACATGCGCCGACAGGTCAAATTATAAACTTGTTTACTCGCACGGAGATGAAGATTGAGAAATACTTCGTAAACAGACTAAGTTGGATTAGCTATTGACTGATAGGGGGGAGAGAGAGGGGGAACTCGGATGCGTTGTTTGGGTTTAGGAGGGGTGATGAGTACCTGCCAAGCATCGATGGTTCGTTGAAAATCTTGCAGCCATCTATCAGCCTGCATACGAACTGAATCATCGGGATGGTGGTAGAGAGCGTTTAGGGCTTCCTTCACAGTATTTTGAAGCTCCATGCTAGACATTCTTCCCACTCCGATGTAGACAACCCAGACGGCTATGAAAAATAGTTCGGTCTTCGGTTTTTAATTTTCTTCTTTTTCTCCCTCTTTACTTGATTTTCAGCGATATGGTTTCGCGCCTGGTAAAGATCCCTCGCCTCCCAAAATCTAGATGCACACTTTATAGGATTCATAGGGATGCATATTAGAATATTAGATATTACTCCCTGTACTTTGGGGCTGGTAGTGACACTTAGCCCCCAGAATTTTTATTTGGGATAAATTTAAATACCCCTGCAGGTTTATATTTCAATACTTTATCATTATATCAGTTAACTCCATAAAATATTTTCATGCGATTGTCTAAATATTTAATCATTTTAAAAACCTTAAATCACCCTTATATAAGTTTTTTATCTTTTTTTATCATTGATTTTTAAATAATTATTTTAAAAAAATAAATTTAAAATATAAAATATTAATATATATCTATAATTAAATCAAGTTACTTTTGATACATTTACATAGAAATGGGCCCAATCTCTCGACTAAAGTTAATTGAAAATAGTAAATAACCAACCAACTTGGATTAAGATGGGTCAAATTGATTGGTTAAGTGAGTTTAATCAATCTTATCAACAGCCCTATTACGAGCATCTTTAAACCCCTCTCCCAGATAAATAATAATAATAATAATAATAGATGAAATCACTGTTTAATCATATTTGATGTAGGGTGATTTGGTCCGACCTAATAATAGGGGGACACGTGGACACAACATAACTAATAGGATGACAGTTCAATCTGACACACCAAGTTTGCAACAAATCGAGCTTGAAAAACCAAACCACCTCGGTGCACGATCGCATCAGGACCACCTCGGTCCCAAGGCACTTCAACATTCGTACCAGGTCGGATCTAAAGGGCACTAGCTCGAGTAATACTGACCGGCCACTGCATGGCAACCCCGAAGATCTCGCCACCAGATTCTGCGCCTCACGGGATCACGCCTTGTAGCAGCTAACATTATCTCCCCCGTCCGATTCGAGCGGAAGTGATGAATCTTATCAGTTGGCAGCATTATCCCCAATTAACGTGGAAACGGACCTCATCGTGACGAGGATTTCGGAACCGCTCCGCGAAGGCTCCACCCCCCGGGGGTGAAAGGTACGTGTAATCTCAGCTCTCTAGCTCTCTTGCATTCTAAGCTATTATCAGCTTGCAACCAAGTACTAACTTAAGCATCGGAGCGACCTCGCCAAGTAAACAACCCCGGGTTCCCTAATTCACTTTTTACAGATCAACCGAGTCCGTCGTCTACTGAAAGCTAGATCACCTCTAACTAAGAGCAGCTGGATTGCGCTACATCAATATTGGGCAAACCATTATCGTTGTGCATTAGTGGTGTTATAATTTCATTATGAAAATATCTTTTATGTTTGTTATATAATGCAGATATTTAATTTTGTGTGTAGGCCATAAAAATTAAATTAAACATTATAATCATATAATGTCATGTCAAAGTTTTCTGGATTATGGGGTTATCCAAATATTTTAATATTTAGATTTAATAAACAATATAGGACATTTACAATACAGCTTTTGTTTTCAAAAATAGAATGTCTTTTTCATCTTTTTACCCTTTTATCTTTACTCTTTGCATGCATACCCTTACACCAGTTATAATAAAAGAATAACATATTAAAAAGTTGCTAGTTTTTATAAATTTCATTGTGGCATGTCAAAACAATGATCCAAACTCAGTATGGTAATTCAAGAAACATTTGTTTTTGTTTTTTGATGATTCAATATCTCCCCATTTCACAAAACTCAATGCATGATTGTTGAGGAAATATTTATCTTAAAAATGGCTCACCAAATACAATATTTTCTCAGTCATCGTCTATTATCCACTTTGTATATTATTAAGGTTCACTTTGGAAAGAGTACAAATACATATATGTAGAGCGCAAAAACTTATATTTTGTATGTATTTGTACTCTATTTATTTGTATTTATATTCCTTCCAAACTAAGCCTAAAGGAAGATTGTTACATCCCTCTTGTTGCATTTTTTAATTATTTTTTCTCAATAAAGTATAAAATTTGATTTACACCTAATAGCATCTCCCGTCCACTTTGTTTATTTTCTTTTCTTTTTCCTGCCTGAAAATCCCCTCTTGTCTCTCCTCTTAATACTAACTTTTTTTCAATTAAGGAAAATAAAAATATATGTAGTGTCCCAAATCATGTTGCGGATGCTGCTTCCTATCAAGTTAAAAAATTGGTTCAAATTCTCTAATAATAAATCAAATCTTAATTTCAAACATATATATATATATATTGAATATTTTCAAAACATCACACTTATATTTAGATAAAATGGGTTAATTAATTACAAATCAAAGGATTCAAAACCATTTTCCCTTTGGATAAGCTTCTTTTTTAGGGGTAAAATACAAAAACTTCCCATGAGGTGTCTGACAATCATAAAAACTTCTCTTGAGATTTTACTTTCTCAAAAACCTCCCCTATAGTATTGGTAAACCTGCAGTTACCTCCTTTTCTTATTGTCACTGGATGGAAAATGTTTACTTAATGCATTATTTTTTTTTCAAAATTACTATTTTACCCTTACATCTATTAATTTAGATGGAAATTTATTAAAATACCCCACAAGAAATTTTCACTTTTAATTAAAATCTATATGTTAGATTAAAAAGAATAAAGTAATTTTATTCTATATTTAGAAGGGCAAATTTTATATTTTGAATTATATTAAAAGATGCCCTAATAAGTTGTAAGGGTATCATAACTTTAGGCTGTGTTTGGTTTGAAGGAAAAGGTAGGGAAAGACAGGGCAACCAATACAAGGTTTGTATATGTTTTCCTTCCTTTCCTTTTCTTTCCCTACCTTTTCCTTCAAACCAAACATAGCCTTAAAGTATTCATTACTTGAACAAATATGGAAGAGAAATAACTGCACATTTTTTGTAAACTATAGGGGATATTTTTATGAATGAAACATCGGGGGAGGTTTTTATGATCATCATAAATTTTATGGGAGGTTTTTATATTTTACTTTTTTTTATATGAGCCTTTGGATAAGCTTCAGGATTTGTGCTTTTCGAGCCAAAAAAAAAAAAGAGAAAGTAAGAGCTTTGTACTTTGGGGAGGTTTCAAAGTTAAGGGCAAACCTTAAATTTGAAAGCAGTTCTCATTCAAATACACTTAAAAAAAGTAAAAATGCTTTCATCTTATTTTTCAAAAAACACAGAGGTGTGTTTGGTATCGAAGAACATCCTCATGGTTGTCCATGTCATACTTCAGATCTGCTAATTAGCTACCCATTTGCTAGGATCATTGCTAGATCCCCAATAAAACTACATCACCTGTTTAGAACTCATGTGTGTGCAAAAATACGTGTGGACATAGTTTTTAATTTCTCCTTTTTCCTTTTTCTTCATCTTCCCTATCTCTTCTCCTGCAACTTTTCAAGACTTGATTCTAAACATGGTCTAGGTTTCATAGAAGATCTGCAGATTTGTGAAATTATCACCCTTCCCTAATTATCCCACCCGAAACTTACCAATTCCCCTAATAGAAAAATATAAGATCAAACAACCCAGATTGATTAGTGTTATTACTACCTTACCAGATATAGTGTTATTGAAAACATTGATTAACCCAATAAGGGTGTATTCAGTATTCCACAACATGGTTGATTTTATTTTTGAAATTAAAAATAACTGGAAAAATTACCCCCTAAGTTCGAAGGATGTATGTTCTTTATATAAGCTAGAATGAAATTCACCGTATGAAATAGAAAATTGGTTGTTGATTTTATGAATTATTTCTGGTTAGTCAAGGCAAATGTAAAGAAATTCTAGTCATAGTTGCAGAGGTGTCATTTTGTGGCATCCAATCGCTTAGCTTAATATTTTATGAATTATTTTTAGTTAGTTGAGGCAAATGTAAGGAAATTCTAGGCATAGTTGCAGAGGCGCCATGTTTAGCATTCATTTGCTCATTTTAATCACATTGATGGATCTTCTCTTCTTTTAGGACCATAACATGTATTTGAGGGATGTATGTTCTTTTAGGACCATAACATGTATTCATTTGCTCATTACCTTATTTATATGGAAAATAAAAGAACATGGGTAAATGTACTTATCCAGATAACTCTTTCGTGAAAAACACTTACATAAGTAAGTGCATTTACCTGGATAAGTAACTTACCCAAAAACGAATGGAGCCTTAAGGTATCAAAAGCATGATTATTTTAATGGATTAATTACTTCTCAACTATGTAATTGCTTAGACCAACCCTATGAATTACAAAACATATATACTTAAAAATCCCTAAAGCATGGCATTAGAAATACTACTCTTTTGTTAATTGATTGTACGTCACATTGCCCTTCTGCTAACATCACATGACACTTGTATCTTTGCTTAAATCCAATTTTATCTTCACCAGTCACCGCAGTGGATACAATATTAGGTATTCACCAACCTATTACCGTAAGCCTCTCTCTATACTCTCCCCCCTTTTTATCCTTCTTTTCCTTTCATTTTGTTTTTTGCACCTGAATTTGAGGAACAACGGAGCCAAGACTGATGAAGAACCTTTTGACTGACAACTTGGTGGAAATTGTTCCATCTGGTCATTGGAGAATTGTAGGCTTGGATTAGTCATGGTGAAGAAAGGTTTTAAAAACCGGATAGGGAACCGTTATGAGACCGATTTTCGGATCAAATGTTTCGACCATCTGGTCCAAATGGATGGTTTATTTTGATAAAAATAAAAATAAAAAAAATGGCCAAAAGTTGTTGTCTAGGTCAACGGTTTGATCACTCGAGTCAGTAGTTTGTTGACTAAATTAATGGTTTTTGGCCAAAAAAGCATTTTTGGGTGAAATAGAACCGGTCAGGTCCCAGTTTTTCTAGTCCAGCCATATGGTATAGTCCAGTTTTGAAAACACTGTAATGAAGGCAATACAAAGAGGATTTTCGTTCTTTGTTATATTGATAGTAATTGAAAACAACTCTCTCTCTCTCTCTCTCTCTCTCTCTCTATATATATATATATATATAATGGTAAGTTACAATAACCAATTTGAATTAAAAAATGATACAAGGTATATTTGGTTAGTGATAAAATAAGCAAGTAATCAATGAGAGAAT